TCTAATACAACCATGGTCACAGAGTTTCTTAAGAGGAAAAAGTCTGATGTTTATTTTCCATGTTATGAAACATTTCGCTCACTGAATACTCAGCACATCCTGTGACAGGACAGCACAGGGCAGAATTCCTCCATCTTGTATTATTGCTGAGGCCATTCTAGGTTTAATTAGAACCTGATCTCCTTGATAGAGAATCCCATGGAAAACTATGCAGCTCTCCTGTAGGAACTACAAGTCAAGATGCCCCAGCTCACTATCACAGCTTCTGTTAAACCACCTGCTTGTACAAAAGCCCCTGCAGCTAACAGCTCATCTTAGCTTCAGTGAGACTGCTTGCTTCCCCTGCAGCTGCCAAGTGGCATGCCAGGACATGGTTTTTTGGATTCAAAAACCCTGTGCTCTGGACACTTGGGACTATTGTATGTTGGTCCCTAAATACCTGAGTATAGTCTCAGCCGACTGGAATAAAGAGTTTCAATTGGCTGTAACTGTGTCTGAGTAGTCTTCTACGGTGGGATCCCCATAACATTTTGACTGTGCAATTTTCTTCAACAAACACAGACTGGAGCGGATTGTGCCCTGTGTCAACACTCTGTGGGACACTGGCCAAACTCTCCTGCAGCCCAGTGTGATCAAGAAAACAGATTCTGTTGAAAGCTGGGCCCAGAGAGACAGCTTAGCAGATGATGAAGTGTTTGTGTCATAAGTGTAAGGACCGAAGCCCAGATCCCCAGAAAACATGTAAAAGTTGTACAGGTATGGCAGTGGCCATCTGTCATCCTAGCACTTTGGAGGCAGGCACAGGAGAATCCCTGGGACAAGCTAGCTACTTGGACTAGTAGGAATCGGTAAGTTTTTTGAGTTCAAGGAGAGCTATCAAGGAAATAGCCTGATGTCAACCTTGGGCTTACACACACACAGACACACACACACACACACACACACACAGAGAGAGAGGGGGGGGGGCCCATGCCCCTGCACACAAACACAGGTACACATATGCAGACAAGCATGCACACGCACAGGTGACACCGATGATCACTTAAAAGTGTAGAAAGAACTGAACATCTGAAAGCAGTATGGCAAAGAAGAGCCCATGGCACGTAGGTGAATGTCCTGGTTTAAATGGGAACTGGCTCCTCGAGCTAACATGCTGAACTTCTGATCCCTGAGTTATGACTCCAATAACTTGGGAACAAAGGCCTAAAGGGGAAGTGGGTCACTGCAGACCTCCTTTGGGGGCTGTGTCTGGTCCTGTCTTCCCCTCTCTCTCCTTCCTGTGCATAGCCTTTGTCCCATGGTCCCCAGACCCAGAGTGACTAGGACCAAGGATGGAGAGCTGAGGCCTGCGAGACCTGTAAACAAATCTTTCTCTTCACTTCTTCTCTCACGGGCTTTGCTCACAGCCACCTGTAAGTACTACTCGAGGACTTTTAAAACCACGACTAACACAGGAGAGGTGGTGAGAGAATGTTGCAGCATAAGGCTGGAGAGAGAGAGAGAGACGTGGCTAGAGGACCCGGAGTCATGCAGGTGAGGCTAATGAGTGGCATTTTTAACCTGAAAGTGATGGGAAGGCATACAGACTTTTAAGCCGTTAAGCTGCTCCAGTGTGGCAATAGAAAGTTCACTTTTTGTGTGTGATGGAGTTGAAGCAGGGAACCAATAGATGGAAGTGAGTCAGTTCAGGAGGTTACTGGAATTAGTGGGTGAAGGGAGGCGCTTGGAGCAGAACATGTATAAGTAGAGAGTAAGATCCAGAATTGGACATGATCTAAGCCATAGAGAGCTGATCCAAAAGACTTGAAGACCTGTGCTTCATCCAAATGGATGGATGAAACTGGTCTTTGCCTGGGAGGAAGTCAGGAGATAAGTTAGATCAAGCTGTTGATGATAAGTTAGAACAAGCTGTTGTTCGGAGACCTCCTAGAGGAGTTTCCACACAAGCAGTGGGAAAAGGTACTCAGGGTCCAGAGATGTCTAGATTGAAGTTATTATTAATACTAGGATTTCAACATCTAAGTGTGTATGCAGGGGCGAGATTCAGGCATTAAAATAAAGACATACCAATATTGGGGGCATCTGAAATAATGACAGCACACACACACACACACACACACACACACATATATATATATATATGTATATATATATATATATATAAATGTCATTTTTCACTAATCTATAAGCAATTTCACCTCATGAACTATTAAACCTTAATGAAATCAAAACTCAAAACCATTTTCAAGTTAATTCCAAAGTGGACTGAAACTCCACCTCATATGCCTGACTTTTCCAATGTGAACAAACCATGAAATAACTTACCTCCATTCAATGTATCCTACTCATGTGTTTCCAGTGTTCCTTCTGCCAGGCACAGTGCTAGGCAACGGCTAGGCAATGGTGAAGGAGACAGGCTCACATCAGTTTGCAGCAACTTTAGTTAAATTTCCCAGCTGGAAGTCTAGCCAGGGTGAGAGAAGTTCCATAGGGCCTGTATGAATGAGCCACTGTTCTCTACAGCACAGAAGAGGCTGTAGGCGTCAAATCTATCAGAGAGGAATAGTACCGATGTATGGAGCAGGTATCGTTGAGTCCTAATAACCGAACGGTAAGAGCTCATCCACATGGAGGCAGAAGGGACACTGAGAGTGTATCAAAGGACCAGAGTTCTGGCTGTGGTGCCCTCTAGAAATAAAACACATGGAAATGACCAGAGTATGAAGAAAATCCTACTTGAAGAACTGTGCAGATGCTAAATTGTACGTGTTTGAAGGCAGTCTTGTTTAACCCTTGTGGAACAACAGAATTTCTGGAAAAATCTGTAATTGGCGGGTACACATACAATGAAAATGAAAACCACTTTAAATTGACTCAACATTCTTGGACGGTTTTGTGCTTTGGCATGGAGAAGAAAATGTATTTCACTGAATGAAGAATTTGTTTTAAACATTGACATCACATCTCAATGGTGTTGTATTTGTGTGTTGCTGAATCAAAACTCTGCTGTTTCCTACTGTGACATATTTCTGTTCATTCTTTGAGGCGGCAACTCTATTACTTTGTTATGTCACCCTTCTCAATGCTGTGATTTATTCTCAACGTGAGGCTTGCAGTCTTTCTAGTGACGAGTAACAGCTCAGGGTGGGACATTTTAATATGATACTTACTGGTAATTCACTGGATATGAGCAATAAAGGATACAGATAACCCAAGTGATGCATTCCCATTCATCAGCTTTATCCATGTGCAACACCAGACTGGTGTTCTGATGAGAAATGTGATGGGAGGTGAGGGCTTAGCCTGCAAGATATCTAGCTATCAATACCATTTGAAAACTACTGTGTGGAAATTGGTTCTTTCTTGTATTTTGATCAATATAGCTGAAAGCAGATTCCCCAGCCTACGACACTCTTGCTTTCCCAAGCAGAGATCAGGCATTCCGACTTGTTAGGTGTACCGAAGGCCATTAGCATTGATAATTAAATAACTGTGATATTTGTGAGAAACGATAAGACAAACACACTTAAAGGAAATGAACAGTTGCAAGAAGAAATATATGTATGGATAAACTGGTGAGTTCCACCTCTGATTTTTCCCTTTCCTTAAAATTAAATGAATTCTTCATTCGCTATTATAAACTAAATATTTCCTTTGAGTCCAATTAGCATTGCTGAAAGAAAAAGCAAATCAAGGCTCTGTTCAGCATGCATCAATGTAATGGAAAATCAGGTCTTTTATTCTAGCTTTAATAACTGCAGCTTGATTAGAGGCAAAGAAAAGACTATGAAGGGAAAAGCGGGAAGGGAGAAGGACTGCCAAATTAGTTCTAGGAGAATTCTCAACCTGTCTGCTCTCCGGCTCACTATTCAAATGCTAATTGAGCCTTTTGGTAAACAGAATGGGTAATCATGAAAGACAAAAACAGACGCAGAAAACAAATGAAATATCACACCTTATCCAAAACAGCATGGCATTTTTCTGATAAGCCTCTGAAGCCTAAAAATTTTAAGTCCTTGGCTCTTTTTTCCCCCCTCAACCGATTATAATTAATATAATAAAATAAATATTACATAATCAAATAAAAAATGACAAAGAACTGCTTTGTTTCAACAATGAAACCAGTCATGTTATAATTAGATAAGAGGATTTATATTCACAGCTATAAACATGAAAGTAGACCATGAGGCTGGATAAAGGCAAGTTTTTAATTCTTAAAAATTAATTACATGGCATTATTCTTATCAGTACACAGAATGCATTAATTATACAATTAATAAAACGATGAAAGGGATTTTTTTTTTTTTGCAATTGTAATGCACATGGGGACATTTGGTTTTATACCCAGGATTGTCCTTCAGGCGCTTCTCTAATCTTCTTACTAGGCAATGTCAAGACCCTAAACCAGTTAGCAGGAACACTGAATGGAGTGGGTCTTTATGTTGGCGCTTAGACTCATCTTGGAAAGGTTGTGGATTTCCATGTAATTGGGATCTAAGGTGTAATGGGTTTAATTTGAGGTCCTCTTTAAAAGAACCACAGGAAAGGCACTGTCAGCCACGTGGAAGAGCTGGGAGAAGGGGAATTCACTTCTTCACAATGGGCTTCCGTAAGGACGAAAATGTGTACATGGTACTAAAAGAGTGATCTCTCTGAGCACTTCCATCACCGGTGTAGCATGGGAAAAAGCTTTGTGCATGCAACCACGTCATCCTTAGGAAAAAAAAAAATTTTAAAGCTGTCCATAACACCCAGGAAGAAGAAGACATAGGAGTGAAAAGGAAGCTTGCTATCAGGAATAGAGCCACAGGCTAAATCCATTTGCAACCGCCAAGGGACTGTTCAGATCCTCTTGCTGGCCTGCACCAGGAGCAAATGAATTGTTGGCAGAGGCTAAGACATCTGGTTTTGTTAGGTACAAATTGCTGGTGTAAGGTAGGACAGAACCTGAACTGCAATGCTCTTGGCTCCCTGGCTAAAATCAAGCACTTCATTCTCTCACCTGGGAAGACACTGTGGCGTCAAGTCTCCTCAGGAAAGCAGAAATGGTCTCTGCATAAGTCAATCCCAGATGCTGACAGCTGCAGAACAAAAAGGAGCCACATCTAGACTTTAGTAATGACGACTATTTGGATTGTTTTTTTTTCTAGGACAGAAAAGGGAAAGCTAATAAAAAATAGAAACTGTGAGCTCATCACCAGCATTGGCACTTAAGCAGAGCCAGGGTGTGGTGGCTGTACTTAACTAGTGCTCACCTGTCTAGTCTTCATGGGTCCTTTGAATAATTAGAATCAAGTGAGCTGAAACTACAACTTTAGGATCCTATATGTTCAAATTCAATTGCATATGCTAAAACTCATACCAAAAATGTGGAGGGTGCCATGCTCTGTCTCTGTTCTCACTCTCTCCAACACTGTGTGCATGAACACACACACACACACACACACACACACACACACACACACACACACACACACCCCACTAGAATATTCTGTCCCTTTTCTCTCTAGCCTGTCATCCTGTTGTTTTCTGTTTTTCTGTCCCTGGGCATATCAACATTCCAAGGTTAATGATGAGGCACCTTGGAAAGTGATGTTTGTTTAGCTTAGGGTAATGTTTTAAATGCCTTTCTCTGTGTGGCAATCTCATTGCTTCTAAAACAAAACCCATCTGCCATCTGAACCTGCATTCCATATTAACACCTCAGACACATTTCTGCAGGTTTTTTTTGTCATCCTGTCCTGGTTGAAAAATTATATGTGAAACAGGAGCTGGCAAACACTACAATCAGTCTGATAGGTTCAAGCTTTGAAAATCACATTTCTCCAGCCTTATTATCAAATTGATGTGCTGTGGCACCCTGTCTTTTCTGAGTTCCCTGAATCCCTGGCAGGCAGAGGGGAGGAACTGGGTGTTTAGCCACAGCTTTATGATTCTTTGGGGATTGTAAATTTGGACTTTACACATATTTATTCATGATAGAACTGTCAACTCTTACCAGAGAAGTTAACAAACTTTTCCCTAAATATCGACACACCTAGTTAGTAGGAATGCATTTGTTCCTAAAATTATCATTTATTTCTCAATCATCTGTCTTGCAATTAATTGAAAGGAGGGTTTGAGTTGTCTCTAGGGCCCAAAGTAGGTTTGTAGTCTCCAATTTGGAGAGAGGTAAAGGTAAATGACCTGTGATTTGCTATAGTTACAGAGTTAGAGTAATATTTGTGTTGCTTTCTTGCAGAAACATGGTAATCCAGTGGTTAATTCTTTTCTCTAACCAAAAAGAAGCAGGGTGGAAGGGAAAGAGGGAAAGGGGGGAGGAAAGAAAGAAAGAAAGAGAGAGAGAGAGAGAGAGAGAGAGAGAGAGAGAGAGAGAGAGAGAGAGAGAAAGAGAAAGAGAGAAAGAAAGAAAGAAAAGTGAATTTCATTCAAGATAGTACTACCAGGCCAAGTTACTTGGTAGCCTTGTGTAGTGAAATCCATATCAGCCTTTATCAGAGATGAGAAATAAATACACCCTAAATGGGTTGAACTACTGTAATTTGAGGACTATATCAGAACACACTGACAAATATCTCATCATTATCCAGCCTTACATTATAAAAATCTCATGTTGTCAGAATCATCTACAATATTTTTAAGGACTGTAAAAAGCCCAGGTCTTCATATATGCAAGGTCAATCAGAAAAAGGAAAGATTTCAATAATACCAAGAAGTGTACTAACAGTTTTTATCTAAATTATCAAACTCATTCTTCAGAGCAAAAAAAAAAAAAAAAAAGATAAAATCACAGTTTTCCAGTGCCTGATTCTATAAATTGTATGTTCAATATTTAGTTTAAAAGATATTTGATCAAAGGAACATGAATTTTTTAAGAACAAAAGAAACTGCCATTGTCATTGTATATAGCTACTTAGTACTGTGGTGATATTTTATTTGTGCTGAAATGTGGTGATATTTTATTTGTGCTTTAATAAATAAAGCTTGCCTGGAGATCACAGGAAAAAGGCCAGCCATTAGAAGTAAACAAAGAAGTCAGGCAGCAGTAGCACACGCCCTTAATCCTATCACTTAGCAGGATCTCTGTGTGTTCCAAGGCCACACTAGGGAACAGAGCCAAGGGTGGTGACACACGCCTTTAATCCCAGTACCAACCATAGAGGTCTGTAGGTCTGTATAGGCAGACAGAAAGTGACAGAGCTGTATAGGAAGAGGAAGTGATGTAGCTGGGCTAAGAGAGCCAATGAGATAAGAGAACAAAAAAGGCATATGAACGTGAGTATACAGGAAGAAGCTCTTTTTGGAAGCTGTGGAGTTGGTGAGGTGAGGTTAGCTCGTGGTTTGTCCTATTCCGCTGATCTTTCTCTCGGACTTTAACCCAAATTTCTGGCTGGCTCCATGTTTTTTATTTATTAAGAAATTCATCTACATAGTACCATCATTTTTGATATTCTGAAGTCAGCATCGGACTTGTTTGCATCAAAAAGGATTATTGGCAGCAAGAAGAATCAAGCTCAAGTTTTCCGTGATAAGACAAAATGATTGTTCTCACAAATACGCTTATTTAATATCATTATAAAAAATTATGTCCCTTCTTTCACACAATATGTTTTGAGGGAAAATATGTCTATCATATTTGTACTTATTAAGTTAATACTACATAAAGATCAAATGGTTATTTCTTTTGAAAATTGTGGATACTATACTTGATCACCATAGCATCTAATTATGAAAACAAGCTTTTGCTTTGGCATATCTTGACTCTGACTTGGTATCCTATGTGTACATATCTGAATATATATGTGTGTGTGTGTGTGTGTGTGTGTATAAAATACACAAATGTTTCCCCTTGCTTCCAGAAACATTTTTAGAAAATATAAATTTTCAAACAATGAAACTAAAAATAAAATATCCCTCAAGTTATTAAGAATCTTTTTTGTTCTAATGTTGGATATATCTCATTTATAAAAATAATTGCAGAGAATCACTCCTATTTCTATTATGAATACATATACACAAATGGACCAAGAGTGGAATATGGTCAGGATTGATTTCTGAGATTCACTTCCTGGAAAAGAGAAGAGTCCTCCTTGGTAACTCAAAAGAAATAAGGGAAACTTATTATCATGAGATGAAAGGTTGATACAAGAGAACTTTAATATAAACTATTTCATGCAGATTGCTGATGCAATCTCAGTAAAGCTTGATTTTTTTTTTCTTTTCAAGCCATGGAAAACTTGAGATTTATATGAGGTCCATTTAGACTTTTTCTTTTCCTTTGAATAAAGGGTTTATAAATGTCTGTTGAATTCATTTCTTCAGCTTACACATTTCCTGTAAACCTACTTCTATTTGTTATGTTTTGCCAATGTATGATGACAGGCTTTGTCCCTATGCCAAGGAGACTGAAAAAGACCTATAACAAAATGAAGGAAACACAGAGGATGCTCATGACAGTGAACTTCTCTGTGTGATACTATAATTACACATTGCATACACACACACACACACACACACACACACACACACACACACACACACACACACATACACATACACACAAAACCACCACCACCACTGCCACCACCACCATCATAATCATCATGCTTGTCCACTGGATAGAACGTTCATCAAGGTAAACCCTAACGTAAAGTGCAGAAACTGAGTGATTAGACTGTATCATTGTAGATGCAAGAATGATAACACATGGACCAACCTGGTGGCGATATTGACGTTGGCAGAGGCTAAGATTGAGGGGAGTAGGAGATATGTAGAAAGCATAGAAAGGTACCTTTTCTTAAATCGTTGTGCATCTCTAAAAATAGTCCTTTAAATTATATGTGTGTGTAAGTCATACACAAATGACTATATAGAAATGTATAAATATGCATATATATGTCTTTACATCCTGTTCCCTTCCTCTCCAAATTCCTGAGACTGTTCTGTCATCTAACAGATCCTCCATGCCATGCAACCTTGAAACATTCAGAATACACTACTGCCCTTTGCATATGCAGTTCCTTCTTTTCTACTTAAAATATAGGTACTCCTCTCTATTCAGACCTACAGAAGGTTATTCACCATATAATGTCAAAGAGCTCTGTGAAGCATTAACCACCATATTTCCTTATATGACACAAGAATACTCCTTTCTTACATTTTGTTCTATTCTTTTGTAAACATTCCTTCCATATATCTCCACATCTTAGAAGAATCTTATTTATTGTGTCATTACTTTCAGGACCTGTACGTGAAAAAAAAATCAATAGTTTGGTGAATGAAGAATGGATGAGTAAATGCAAACCCGTATGTTGATATGCTGGTATATCTGATAAAATCAGTTTCAGTTCAATGCTTGGTTGTCACTATCTTGAAAATCTTAATTTTTATCTTTGAAAATACATTACAAAGAGTTTGAATGGGGCAAAGGGGCACATACCTGGAAGCTTAGATCTTCAGCTCACATCACATATGTGTGAATATTTGGTGTGTGTTTTTGGTGGCCTACTCCCCGAACCTTCCAACTCTGCTTCTGCCCTTTCTCCCTATTGCAATTACTCCATAATTATAATCCTTCGTTCATGTTAGCAACTTGTTCATAATGGCATGAGAGGTCCATGTTCTGTAACCAGCTTTTGTTCCATAAGAAAGTTATGTGTGGGTATAACAGGGTTAAGGACCTTTAATTTTTTCACTCTAAACCTGTGATCAAACTTTTGCCATTTCTCTTAAGCCAATCAGACAACAAAAGGTCAGACTTCTTCAAGCTCTGCTACCCTCACTCAGGCTACTCTTCTTACTTGCTCATCTTCCACTGAACAACTTCCCTCCCCAACTGTCTTATGTTATCTATCGTATTTATCTGTTATTCATTTTCAACTCATAACTAATTGATTTCTGCTCCCTTCATTTCTTGTTACATATATATTCATTAGCAAATCCTTAACTACCACTTACTATATTTCAGAACAATGTTCTATGAACTTTTAAAATATTGCCTTGCCTTATTTTTAAAATAATCATTTGAAGTATACACTATATTGGATGAACACTAAGAAGAAGAATACCTTTAATGCCGAAT